CTCACTATATAAGATCCGGTCGGGGGTGCTTCCTCTCTGCTGCCTCTCCCAGCCGTGGGGCGGTGAGAAGGCAGGTTTCCTCAGAGGTCATGTAAATATTTGCGGAGCAGTAACACAGCTGGGCGCACCCACTCCTCTTGCGGGCTCATTTGCTGCTCCAGAGAATTCGCAACTGGGATCGGTGCTGGACTTTGGGGCACTTCGCTGTGCATCCGGTGACTCCAGTGTCTCGGATCCAAACTCTCCCCCACCTACCCTCAGAGCCTTTTAGTCCTAGCATCAAGCTGGCCCTGGGGAGGGAGTTGGTAACAAGTGGGAAGCGCTGACCACTAGAAAGAACACTGCCCTGGGAACCAGGAAGCCCAGGTTCTGTGGAAGAACCTTGAGGAAGTCAATTACCCTTTCTGAGCCCTGCTTTCCTCCTTTGTGAAAAGGAGGGACTTGAACCAGAGGAGCTGTACATATTTTTTCGGCTCTGACATTCTGGATTATCTGACCACGTGAAGTGGATCTGTCCCAGGCAACATGGCATATCCTCCAGGAAGGGCCTGGAAGTTGCTGAAGGAAGGTACAGCCTTAGTAGGTCAAAAGCAGAGAGAAGGTCCCCAGGAGCTCTTGAAAACTCAGGCCTCCCTGAGAAGACAAGAAATCCGCTGGATTTCCTTTTTGCCTGGGACTAATGTCATCATGGCTTTCATACCTGTGGCCAAACTACCTGAGGCCGCTCTCTTAACCCTTCATGTTCTAAAGCAAGTATAGTAACACGTGCCTCACCTTAGAGCATTAGGTTGTTTGTAAATGAGATCAGAGTCATGAAAGTGTTACCACAGAGGCTGGGAATGATTTTTATAGATGGTTCTATCAAGGTGCCGACAGACGATTTCCCCAGGAGTCACCAGGGTCATTGGGGGATCTGGGAGTAGGTTTGAAAAGCTGGAGTTAGAGATGTGACCAGGTCATTCTCCACGGAGAGCATAGGGATCCCACCCCGGTGTGGCCACAGGGTTAATTCACCAGGGTCCTCCCCCAAGTCCTTTCCCCTGTCCCTGCATTCTGGTTTAATTCTTTCTCTCTCTCATCACCCCTCTCTATATGGTAAAATGCTCTTTGTTCTGCCTCTGCCAAGATGCTACCAGCCCAGCCTGGCCAAGACGTGGAGGGGTCTCAGGGCTCAGCTTGTCCCCACAGACCCCAAGGGAGCTTCTCTGACTGGCCCAGACTTGTGGAGGGGCGGGGCCTTTTCCAGCTAAGGAAGTAAATAGCTTCATTATTCATGGGAAATCGGGGAAGTGAGGGTAGGTCAAGGGACAGAATGGTCAATGCTTACCCTGGGACCCTAGTTGTCTCAACGGTCTCACTTCTGGGCCTCACCAGGAATCAGGTGTGTAGTCAGACCCAACAGGGGACACTGGAGCCCCAAAACCCCCAGGCAGGTGACACTGGAACTTGGACCACATGGACCTTCCTGGCAAGTTTTTCTCTTTTTTGTGCCTCACTCTCACCAACCCCATTAATCTTTGAGATTATGGTCAAGGACCAGAGCCTCCCACTAACTATCTCAGGATGTTCCTGTTGGAAATGGAACATTGGTTTGGAGGACCTTGGGCCTGAGCCAGGGTGACTCCAGAGATCCCTTGAGGTGTGTGTGGAGGGGGTGGAGGGGTTGTGGGGAGGGTATCACCCCTCACAGGAATCTGGCTGAAAGACCTCACGTGTATTAATCTGGGCTCTGCCTTCTGCTTTAAACATTTCCTGGCCTTTCCATGCCTCAGTTTCCCCCTTGTAAAGAGCCACTCTGATGGCGCTGGCATGGGAGACAAATGAGATCATGGCTCCCAAGGGCTCTTTGAAGAGAAGCCAGAGGAGCACAGGGGAAGCCTATCTAAGATAGATGGGCCTTTTTCCTCTCTCCCTTTTTGGCTGGGTTTTCTTTCTGGAAAAGTGCCTGACTCCCAGCTTCCTATCAGCAGGTGTCTACCCCCTCCACCACATGCCTCCACCACAAGCTATCCCCCATTCCTTCTGCCACAGGCGACAACTGTGCAGCCTGGGACCCAGAAAGAAGAGCTCAGAGTCATCCCCTGCAAGCCCCCCCACTGTAGTCAAGGCAATGAGGCCACCACACCCCCCCAACTCTGCCACCACCACCACCCCCAACTCTGCCACACCCCCATGATGGGCAGGGTCAGGGCCTCTTCAAGCACATGAGCTGGGTCTGCTGACAGGGGAGGTTGTGTTTTACTGTCTTCACAGAAGCCCCCAGACAGCACTTCTCTTCAGTGATGCTGTCCAATTACCCAAAGTGCTTTGACCTGCTGGCTGAAAATAGCAGGTGCTAATTTGCATGCTATTTCTTTAAGTCTCTGGGCCCTCGCTCCTTCCCCTGTAAAAGCCCACCGGAACCTCCCCCAAGCAGAAGGGTAAGTAGAAGGTAGACAACCATGCAACCCACCTTCCTTGTTGGCAAGGAAAGAGGAACATGTAGAGGGAAACCTCATATTCTACTGGGTTCTAACAGTTCAAGAATCAGACCCAAGGAGGAGGGGTTTAGAGATCCTCTAGCCCAGAATCCCCTTGGGTGGGGATGGGAGGACAAGGACAAAATTCAGGAGCTGAGAGCTCCTCCCCTGTGTCGAGCTGCTGGCTGAGAGTTGCTTTCTTTACTGCCTGCTCCCTAGTCCCTGCTGTGGGGAGGGGTGGGGGGCAGGAGGGTGCAGTGCAGGTGGAGGGGGAGGGCCAAAGGGAGGATGGGCAGGCTGCCTTGTGTGAAGAAAAGGGATAGGGCCCCATGAGCTCTTCAAGGCTGTGAAGGAATGTTCTGGGACAGCTCAGTCCCTGCTCCAAAGACTCCTGCCCCTCCAAGTAAAGCCTCTGTGCCTCACCTCTGTCGGTCTCCCCTCCCTCTAGGCTCTGCCCAGAAATCCACAAAGGGGGAAACCTTATGGAAAACGCACAGCTAGATCTGGGGGAAAACATCCCCTGCTGGTGACATTCCTCTGGCTCAGACAAAGTCATTTTACTCAGGATGCTGGCTGAGGCTAAAGAGAATCCCTTATGGTGCCTGTCACCATAAGCTGTTCCCCAGATGACCCAGGCCAGCCCCAACACAGCTGCACAGGCAGAATCTCCCTAGAAAACTGATAACACTCGTCCTCCCGTTGGGGTGGTGGTGAGGATGGGCTCGCTGCGGACGTGATCAGGACAGAAGAGGCAGGATAGGGGTTTGGTGTAGGGCCTGAGATGGGTGAAAATGCTGGCGAAAACCACCTGCCTTGCTCCGATTCCCCTCACAGCTGGTCTGCTTGGGACCTGTTGCACCTTTCCTAAGTCCTACCACCCAAGCCACTCAGCATAGAGTAAAGGGAATAAAAATGAACTCGCGCCCCCCCCCCCCATGCTAGGGGGGAGCCTGAGGGATTGGTGCTAGGATCACTGCAGCTCTTTACTCCCCTTTGATCTCCAAGCATATATGGAAAACTTGACCACAGTATGCACCCTCAGAAACAGATCCCTCTCCAACTCAGACTGCTCAGGGATCCAGAGGCAGAGTTCCCTCTGTAAGGTTTCCCACCCTCTAAGAACGGTGCTTCCCCCTCTAGAGGTGTAGCCCCAGGTCAGTGGCACTGGGCAATCAGAGGACCAGAGCCAGGTGGGATTTTAGGGAGAAGGGCCATCCCTAGCACTCAAAGCACCATCCAGACCGCCCCCGTGGGGAGCGGGGAGGAGCTCAAGAGTGTGAATGTCCTCTGCCTTAACTTCTGTGAAAACCAGGTGCTGAGGTGACAGGCCTAGGTGAACCCATAGGGTCTCTGTGTGCAGCTGATCACCCCAAACTGCCCAAACACTAGAGACAACTACTGCTCAGTGGCTCACCGGCCTCTTAGGTCAGTACTGGGGGCGGCTTTTTAAAAAGATCACTGCGGTGCTTTTGTTGCTTCAAGAAACTGCGGATATCGTCTGTCCGTTGCTAAAACATGGTCTCCCTGGTGTGCCCAGATCACATTGAGATGGGGACCCAACCTTACACAGTCAGCCCCTTCCAGGAGCAAGGAGAGCGGCCTCGGGGAAGCAGTGGTGAGAGCATCTGCGCAGCCCCCCCTTCTTTGAACGGGGAGAGTTAAGTGCTCAGGAAGACCCCGAGGGGAGCTCAGTGGGCTGGAGGGGGGGCCTGCTACTGGATCCCACTTCTTTTCCCTCTTACTTTACAACTAAAATCCTTCCTCCTTGAGATCGTTTTCCTTCTTAGCTGAAAATGCCTCCTGGATAAAAGCACAGACTCTTGCATGGTGTGAACTCTTCTTTCTCCCTGGCATCTTCCCCCAACATGCACACCTTTCACCTAATCTATTTCCCTAAGCGGGGAAAAACGTTAGCCCTCCCCCCACCCAAGTTGTCTGCCCTCCTGGAGGGCACACCTTCCTAGTCTCCCCTCCCCACCCCAGGTCTCTGAGCCAGCTCCTGGTAATTTGTGCCTGTCGTCTGACCTTCATCCCCCAACCACGCTCCTCGTTTTAGGTGATGTACTGATCCCCTGCTCTTATTCTAATTTTTAGAGCCTGGAAAGGGGCCAGGAGGGGGCTGGGAAGAAGCCCTGCCAGGGGGAAGGTTCAACCCAGGCCTCCCCGACCCGTGCCCACCGGTACACACCGGTTGGTTCCCTGGCTCGCTGCCCACACCCCCTTCTGCCTCTGTAGCGCAAGTAAGAGCGCCCAGGGGACCGCAGCAGGCAGCCAGGGGGTTAACTCCAGGGCAGCCCAGGTGGAACTCGAGGCCCCCAGCCCGCATCTGCACCTCCCGGGCTCCCGAGGCCACCGGAAGGCTGAGGCTGCGGTGGCTCTTTGTCTACCTGCTCTGGGCGTTAAAGAGCCCGCTCTCAGCCTGCATCTCCGGGGCTCGGGACAGAAGTCAGCGGCGGCGAAATGGGGCTCTGTCGCTTTAAGTACAGCTGGAGCCGTAAGTGCAAGCCCCGGCGGTGGGGAGAAAAGGGAGCGGAGGGCCGGCGAGCACTCGGTGTCTGGCCCTCCGCGTGGCCCGGACTCAGACCTCTTCGGGTGTCCGCGGTGCCGGGGAGGGCGCTGGGTGCCCACCCGGCGAATGGCCGCCTGAGCCGGGGAAGATGCTTCATCTGCCCCTGCCCAGGTCGGGAAGGACGGTGAATTTCCCCCGCAGGTAAGCGCCCGGCCCCTGCTGCAGTGCTGGGGTCGGGGTTGGGAGCCCTCCAACCCCGACCCCAGCCCCCGCCCCTGGCTACACTACCGCAGCAGTGGGTGTGGGGTCTGCAAGAAGGAGGGTCTTGGCTGCCCTGCTTTTCTGACGGAGGGAGGAGTGCCCGCGCCCGTGCCGCCAGAGTCCTCTGGTTCCCGGCTACCCGGCTACCCGGAGTCCTGGGCTTGTTGGCGTTGGGAGTTGGAGGTGGGTGTGTGGACGGGTCTGGGGAAAGGAGAGGGAAGGCAAAGCAAGGCGCTTGGGTTCCCCAGAGACCGGGACAAAGCTGAGACAATGGCACAACTTGATTGAACTTGGATGGTTGCCGCTGCAGGGTATTGGGGGGGTCCCCGCCCCCAGCTGTGGGGGGGGGGCGGGGTTTCTTAGGGACCTGGAGAGGGAAGGGGAGGGTCCTTCAGCGGGAGGGTCCTTCAGCAGGAGGGTCTCCCTGACTCAGAAGCTCTGGGGTATGAGGAGGTAGAGGGGTGAGACCTAAGGAGGGGAGGTGGGGGTGAATTTGTGACCCCACAGCTGGTTGGATTCCTCTGAGAAGGAGTGAAGCCTGGGACTCTACTCTGGGAAGGGATGAGCAGCAGTGGAATTTGGGAGATGCACAGTGGGGGATCACAGATCAGTCCTGTGCATTGGTGAGGGGGGCCGTTCATGGTGGCTCCCCACTAAGAGGAAGTGAGTGTGAGCACAGCCAGTCAGGGATCCTCAGAGCTGACTTGGAAACTGCACTTCCAAGAGAGGATTAGGAAATTCCAGCAGCCAGAGAAAGAGAGCTGATGCTTTCTGGTTTTTCTGGGAGCTTCCCACCCCAATATACACACTCCCTCCCCTCACCCTCCCTCTGACTTGGCTGGCTGAAGGAAGTTGGAGGTTAGGCCAGATGACTGAAGCTGAGACCACTCCCACCCCCATACCTCCTCAGGGCTTTCAACCCCAAGAGCCCAGACTTGCACCCTGGAACATGCCCCCCTTTCCCCATGGTTCCTTGGGGAGAGCCCCAAGCACTTGCCAGGGGCTTCACTGCAGCTCTGCACACACAGGCCTAGGGTAAGAGCAACAGAACCAAGGCAAGGCCTAGGCAAGGGCGAGGCGTCTGCAGCACTGGGTGCCCTTGGAGGCCAGAATCCTGCTGGCCCCCAACTTCTTGTCCCCCACCACAGTGGGACAGACTGCAGCCCCTCTGCAATGGGACTGGGGACCCTTGGACTGACTTTGCTAGGATGACTGGTGGGATATATCTTTAAGAGGAACCAGTTTTGAACAAAGAATAGATCTATGTAGGGACCTCTGGGGATTCTTTTTTCTGGTGAGATCCTGGGGGTGAGTCCTGAGTCTCTGGGCCCTGGAGAAGGTGGAAGGAAGGGGCTGTTCCTGACCTTGTTCTCCACTTCTAGCACTGCCACCCCAGTTCAGAACCTGCTTGAGATCCACACAGGGAGTGCCCAAGCAAGATTATAGTTGTCACTGAACCCAGATTTGCACTGGTTCTACACTTTTGTTCTTTGCCTCCCTCACCCCTGGAAGACGTGAAAACCCTTTAGTTGGCTCCCTTGCCCTGAGCCCATCACCCCTTCTTTCCTACACAGAGCCCTTTCTAGGTTATGCTATCATTTCTTTTGAATGGCTATTCTTCCCGCCCCCTTGCACTGCTGCACCCCTTCCCGCCCCACCCTGGGAGACTAGGCTTTGAAGACCGTGAGCTTAGTGCCTATCCTGGGGCTATAGCTGCTGAGTACTCACCTAGCACCTTACCAGAAACAGACTTCTGGGCAGGTGTGCCAGGGCAGGGAGCTGTCTGCCACAACCCAGGGAGAGGAGCGGGTCACATCACATGTCTGCTAGGGTGGGGCGAGGTTGGACTGCAGTTTCCTTTCTACCCAAGCCCAAGACTTTCAAGCCGATTGTTGTTGGTAGGCAAGGAGAGAGGGGATGTTATAAAGTGGAGGTCAGTCCTCAAATCACCAGAGTTCAAATACAAAATTTAACTACCCTGGCTGCAATCCACAGGGGGAGAGTTTAACCTGAGCCTTTGCTCTGGAGACAGCTCGAAAAACCTGCCCTGTAAATGATGCTTGATTGGGGCCAACAGGGATCAAAGAGATGCTTGCCCTTCAGGTGCAGGTTCCCCCTAAGCTCCAAAGGAGGCAGCATGGAAAGGATGTGAGGTATCAGGGTGAATGGCCTAACTGGCCCGCAGTATCTCCATACCCAGCTTTTGATGAGTTGAGCTGTGATCAGCCATTGGCCACTCCACTTGCCTCAGAGCAGATGCCTGGCATTACTGCATCTATCATGGAAGCCTGTCTCCATAAGCACCATTCTTGCACATCTCTCCTGGAGACCACTCTCTTTCCTGCTCCAGAAATCACCATCCTTCAGATTCTTCTAAGCAGCAAACCCGGGGTGTAGGCATCTATCCCATTCAGCATTCCTAGATTCCCTCCTAGAAGGGGCCCTTAGCTATAACCTGGGGACCAGTAGGAACAAGACCTGCTCACAGCACTTGCCTCCCTCAACCCGCAGAGACCCCCTGGGGCATAGGACTCCAGCTTGGCACAAACCCAGCCTCTGTGAGAGGACAAAATGCCTAGGGACAGCAGAGCCAACGAGCTGCTTCTTGTTAGCAGGTTTTATGGGGCTAGGCACGCACAACGCAGGCAAACCACACTTGCCGGCTTAACCTCTTCCTGCAAAGCCCCTGCGCTCTGCTTGAGAGGCAGGGAGGAGAGAGGTGCCAAGCGGGAAGCATTATAATGAGGAAGACTTAGTGTGGCTGTGTGTAACATCTGAGCCAATCACTTTCACCCTATAACAGGATGCTCTAAAGCACTATCTGTGCTAAGCGCTTTGTAAACATTCACTTCTTTAAGCCCTACAACAACCATACGAGGTATATTTTATCATCATCCCATTTCACAAGTGAAGAAACTGAGGCACAGGGAGGTTAAGTAATCCTATCTAAGATCACAGTGGTGGGATTTGTTCTCACACCTAGATCTGTCTGACTCTAAAGCCAACCCCTAAGTGCTGCTATAAGGAGATCATTCTCACTGACACTGATCTAGGCCCAAGGAATACCAAATGCTGAAGATGCACAAGTTGAGGGTATTTGAGGCCTCCGCAAAGGTCTGCAGTCGGCCCGGAACTCTAGTGGGAGTGAGGTGGGAAGAGCACTGGACTTGTAGAGTCTGGTGACCTAATTCAGGACAAGGGCTCCGTTACAGTTAGCCTTGTGACCTTACAGAGGTCGCGGAGCCTCCAGCCTCAGTTTCCTTCTCCATAAAATGGGCCTAACTCCTGACCAGTCTACCCCCCCCGGGCTGTAGTCATGACAGTGAGCTGATATGAAGAGCAAAGTGCTTTCAACACGTGAGCTCTTATGAGTGATATTTACTAGTTGAGGTCCCTCGCAGGCAGTAGGAGTCCCTCCCAGATTCTTCAAGTTTGCTTTTTCCCTTCATTTTTTCCTTCCATTTTGCTAGGACCCTAATGAGGATGCCAATCGGAATAATAGACTAAATAACTTCCTGGCATCGAATATATTTTTGATTTTTTTTCTTAAATTCTCAATTACTCATCTTCAGATTTCTATTCAGTCCAAATTCTATCCTAACGAAGATGCTGTATTTATACATTCTATTTTAATGGCAATTGACGTAAAAATCGGCCACTTAAAAAAAACTTCATCGTTTAAAAAAACCACCTTATTTCTTCAGCCTCTACTATGTGATACCTTTGTGCCAGCCATTATGCCGGGGGCTGGAGACACCGAGCTGACCCTTACGGAGCTAACATTTGTCTGTTCATTTATTCAACAAACTGTAGCGAGCATCTCACAGATGCCAAGCACGGTGCTGGGAACCGGGAGTATGATAGTGACCAGTAAGACAGACATAAGAGTCTGTGCCCTCAGGAAGCTTATCATCGTTCAGTGAAAACAGATAAATAAAAGTCAACGAGCACATACATACATTATTGGAGGGGGAATAACGCAGGAGGATGCAATCTGGTGGAGGAAACAGGGTGCAGATCCCTGTGACACCAGATCGAATGTGTAGGAAGCAGAAGCAAGCAGGGAGGGGCCATAGTTTGAGTGGTCAGGGAGGACTTCACAGGAAGATGGCATTTCTGTTGGGCCTGAAAGCAAAAATACGCATTTTCCAGTGGAACCAGAGCTCATCTGAGGAGAGAGGGGAGGAGTTTTCCTCAGTTGAGAGGCTGTATGTCATCTTCCAGTTTCTTTGCCCCAGACCCACTATCACTGTGGCTTCATTGATAACAAACACCCCTTGTCTAAGGTAGAATCCTCAAACAGACAGCTGAATCAAAGTGTCACTGCTTAGCACCACCGGCAGTCCTATCTGGAAGCCTTTGGTAACGCAACTGGCTTCTTTCCTCCAGAGCCTGGTCTCGCTTTCATCTCAGGCAAAGTTCATGGCCAGAATGATGGCCTGCCTCTGCCTTTGCCACGCGAGCAGAGTCCAGTAATGCTACCTGTGGGCACAATGTGTCGGATATGAGGCATCATCCTCATCCTCGCTTTCGTGGGATTCTTCAGGAATTTCCTAGAAATACTAAATTCTTGGACATTATTGGACATTTAAATCTGAGGAAGCCTGTCTCCCATGAAGACTCCGACACGTCATTGGGTGAAAGAACATCAAAGCCCCTGCCCACGTGCATGTGTACACAGGCGAAACAGGCTGGCCACTGTCCTCTTTACACAGGCAAGAGATGCCGATGTAACCCGTGGACTTACAGAGGGTATGGCAAATACGAGTTTCCCTCATAAACTGGTTTTCCTAGGTAATGTATAGCTACAGGCGTCATTTGAGTAGTAGGTGGGTTATTCTAAAGAGGAGAGCAGAGGGAAGTTGGGTACCTACCTACTTGCTGGGAACTGAGCTGGATGCTTTATTTTTGACCTTGTTTATGCCAGCAACCAGGAAGAG